TTCGAAAGTTTATAGATAAACACTTTAAAACAACTTCCAAAAAATTCCATTAAATGTTTAGAATATTATTTTTAATTGTATTTTTTAATGATGAAATATGATAAATATATATATATATATATATATATATATATTTATATATATATATATATGTGTGTGTGTGTGTATATATATATATATATATATATATATATATATATATGCTATACTGTTTATTTTACTTTTTAGAGACTGAAACTGATGCTATGCTTCTACAAACTATTCAAATCATATCACCTTTTATTGCGCAAACCTCAGCAAACCAAAGTATATTATAGTTACTATTACTAATTTTTTAATTAAAGCAAATTAGATATACGCTTATTAAATTGCCTTTATTATGACCCATAATTCTATAATCCTCTGGCATAGGTGATATTTATTTTCTTATTATGGAAATTGTAATTCAGATAAATGCTCAATGCCATTGCAGTGTTCACCTTGAAGATGTTCAAATGCAAAATATCTTCAGGATACGGACTATAAATTAGATTAGGGGGTTCCAGCGATAATTCAAATAAATATTCTGGTGATTATTTTTTCTTTTTTGTAGTAGAATAAATAAATGATTTTCAATGTAAATCTCCTCTATTATCTAGTGTCAACTAGTTTAAATCTCTTATAAGCCAACAATAATGCACCAAGCTTATCTTCTTCAGAGCAGAGTGTGGTGCGGTGATGCTGAGACTGGTACTCTGAACGACGGAGCTTGTGTCAATAACTTTTGTGTTTCATGAGCAATTGTTTATATGGAAATGCAATCTTTGGGAAAAATAAAGTGTTTGAAATTAGATAAGCCTTTTGCGCTGAGGCACAACCTAATATATTTCATTTGAATTACTGAAGACCAAAAAAGACCAAAAAGCTAATATTGTTTTTAGTTAAAGAGAACCACCTTTCTAATTCGACTATTGCTTTGAAGTTCTAATTTTTCTTTCAAAACCCAGTCTTTTTGTTGTCTTACAAGAAACACGTGGCTTCACTGTCCACTGTAGCTGCAAGCACTGTGGAGCAAGTCATTCTCAAAATTCAAAGCAGTAGGAAACATTGTTCAAGTCATGTTTTTAGCAGTACAACTCTTACCTGCACCCCTTTCCTAGCAATGACTTAGCTGCACTGCTTCTCCTGCTCCCATCTGGCAGCAGTGACTCAGCAGCTAAGCTACCCCTGCTCTCCCCTAACAGAAATAACTCAGCAGACTTCGAATCTCCAATGTAAATACAGGAAGGTGCTCTGGGAAAATAAAATCAGGGTGCAGTGAGCTGCTAGGAGAATAACTTAAACTGTGAGTCTGCTGTGGATTTTAATGATGAGTTGCTCCGCAGCGACAGAGGGCACTGAATACTTGTTTTACAGTGTAAGTTCATCTTTTCATTAAAAAAAAATTAAAAGGTGAACTAACACTCTACTCTCCCCTTGCCCCCCCCCCCCCCCCAAACATACACACACACACACACACACACACACACTTAGCTTTATGGGTAATGCAGTTTCATCACCCACAGTGCAGTGGTCATGGGGTTTGAAAACCAAACTGTTATTCCTCTTCTTTTCCTAGGGATGCTGAGAGGGATCATAGCAGTTCTCATTAGTCAGCAAGGTCAGCTATCAATCATCCACTCTTCCTCCATTCTACGCCTTCCAAGAATGGTGGAGCTGGATGGAAATGGAGGACATAGTCATGCTCTCTTGATGAGAGCCCGTGATATTTCTTTAGTTCTGTTAAGAACTAAGGGCGCAGGGGTGGAGGAGAGCAGGACATAGGAAAATTACTACTAACAACAGAGGAATCAGCATAAGGTACACATCCAACTGACTGTAAGTTATGTCCCTTGTGCGGATTTTTTGTTTCTGATTTTGGCTGATGTTAGGTTTTATCAATACATTTTATATGTCATACCAGATTTCACCAGCAGGTAGCACTGAAAGCTCAAGTCTGGTCATTTTGAAGCTACATGCTCAGATTCTAAGAAGCATGGAAACATCTAGAATATAAAAAAAAAAAAATATATATATATATATATATATATATATATATATATATATATATATATATATATATATATATATATATATATATATATATATATATATATATATATATATATATATATATATATTTAAAAGCTGTATTAAACATTAAACCCAAAAGCAAACACTCAAACACTTATATGAGATATAATAAGATATGATAGGTGCATTCATTTTCTTGTTTAGTCTTTCTTTCTTATATTTTTATCTGATGAGCCAGCCAGTAAGTCGCTTGTTTAAGTTGTTTTTTTTTTTCAAACAGAACAAGCTCTCCTGCAAACATATCAGTTACAGGGATAAGACAAAGTATTAGAAACTGGCAGGGGTGCTTACAACGATCAGCTTTTATTTATTTCTTTAAAACCTTTTTCAAAAAAGGAAAAAGAAAACCTGTTTGCTGTAACTGTTAATGTATTTAAATCTGCTAGTCCATCTATCACTCCCCTTTCCCGACAGACTGACAATGCTGTTGTCATCCTCCTTCATCCAGAGTGGAGGCACTGTAATACAGGAGGTATGATACTGGCCAGATCACCAGGTAAAAACAGAGGAGAAAAGCCTAAAAAAAAGAAAACTAATACAGCCATCACATCTAATGATTGGTAAGTTGCAATATCATACATTTTTGGTTTTGGGTTTAATACCTCTAATATCTATAATGCACAGTTAAATATTGTTAAATCAACTTATAACTGCTTCTAGATTTCAACTTTAGTGCATGATTTGACTGTTTCCATCGCTAACATCTGTCCACGGTACTAAGTCTTAGCTACAGTATATATTTCTATGAAAACACTTGAGAATTATAATAACATACAGTAGACCCTTTATATACTTTAAATCCGAGATCAAGCACATTTTAAATACACAAATTCATGCATCTCTGTAATCACCAATACATCATTACCTCCTTTGTGCCAGTGCCTCCCAGCCCTTTAAGAGTTTCAGAAGCCGGGAGGCGGGAGGGGTTTTAGGGTCATGTGACTACTGTGATACGCCTTCACAGTGGTCACATGATCGGAAAAGGTCCCGATCGCAAAGGGAGATTGAGACCTTTCCGTGAGTAATGGACATATGTGCTGGGAGCACGCAGGGCACGTGCTGTCAGCACATATGTATTTTCTAATAGGGCCAGACACCGAGAGGCCACATATTTGCATGCGCTCAGCATCTAGGGGTTAAATGCATTTTTAAAATGCAAGCAGTGTAAGTATCTAAATCTGTCTTAGTATCAGCCTCCTGCAGTGCCTGTATAGTGAGGCTAGAGAGTGAGAGGAAGGCTAATCAATTCATGTTCTGACAAAACGTATGCTGATAGTAGAAGTAAGCATAGTGAAGAAAGATGAGCTCAGCACTGTGCTGCTTCTACTTTCACTGTCCAGTCACAAAATGAGTACAACATGGGATCAGAGGAAGTAGATTGAATAATGCCTGGATGTCAGACTGAGCATTTCTAGTGGACAAAAAAAAGTACTGCGGGAGAAATCTCTGGATAAAAGGTGCATTTTGCTATTTTATCTTTTAACGGACTATTTCTTTTATCTCCTTAATTTTTTGCTGGATTTCTGATATAATATGTACAAGAACAGCTTGATTCATGAAAAATGTTAGGGGTTAGGAGGTGAGAAGGAAAGAAAAGAAATATGTTTCTCTTTGGACATAAGTGTCTGAGATTAGAATCATATTACCTGGCTAGAGAGTAAGACTGACCTCAAGGTATCTATACTGAACTAACAGGGCTAAATCACTCTCAATGTGAAGAGGAAACCCCTTCAGCTGGCTATTGGACTGCCTATTAGTCTATCAGATAGGCACCTTTACAGCTACTGTATGTCTTTCTTTAAAACATTTTGTATAGCAATAGGACCACTTTAACTGGGAATGTTTTAGAAACAAAAATTAGCAGAGGAGCAAAATCATAGATATTGGAAAAAGGACACAGGTGGTACCAGGTATTCAGGCAAATTTATACTTTAATTATACTTCATTTCATCTTGAAAATGTACCCAAAGAAATAACATTTTAAAACAGAAATCAATTAACCTCCCTAGCGGTCTGATTATTGATTATCTGATTATTATGTCCATATTTCTGTGCTCAAAGCGGTACATTTTTTTGCATGGAAATATGTATTTTTTTATTGTAGGCCTGTAATTTTTAGGAATAACTCACTGAAATCTGTCCGAACAAGAGTCTAGTAAACATCCCGGGTATGTTAAAATTTGAAACACGAAATCATAAATTATAATATAATAAATAATCATAAAAAATATTAATATAATAATAATACATTTAATTAAATAATATAATCAAACCAAAAAAACACTGAAATTTGAAATATAGCGCCAAGTTCGCACATCACTGAGCAAAGTCTCAAAATCGTTTTTAGTGTCTGATGACGAATTTCCCCACGAATCATTATCACTCAATTCTGCAAGTGGTTCTGATTTACTATCGCTGTTCTCTAGCTGGTCTAAAACCCCTTTTGACCTAAAGGGACGCTTTTTTTGGACGCCATGGACTTTTCTCAGTTTCCAGGCAGAAAGAACAGTAAAAATGCAGGCAGGGCACAGGACAAAGCACTCGGGACAAAATGTATGTGAAATGGTTTGATACAGTAATATTTTACTATGTGATTTTAGTGATTTTAGTGAATGTCACTTTTTGTCATTTTCAAATTTCCCGCCGCTCCGTCCCCCGTACGTCCCGACGCTCGCAGGGGACGGAACCCAGATGACAGATGCATCTGCCGGAGGACATTGCCAGGACACTGCAGGAGGCACATCGCGGGAGCGCAGGACAATGTAAGAGAAGAACAGATCCCGGAGCAGCGCCGCATGGTAAGCCCGAGTGTAGCTCGGGGTTACCGCTTGTGGTACTGAAACTTTACCCCGAGCTACACTCGGGAATACCGCCAGGGAGGTTAAAAGGTGCATTGTGGAAATGTTTCCAAACTCTAGATGCTGGTCTCACCATTTTACTGAGAGGAGGAAAAGAAAATCCAATTTACTGAGCAGACTATAGGTAAACATTAAGCTGTGATGGTGGAGAACATTAACAGGAATCATTTAAAGGTTATAAAGTTAAACTAATTTGTCAGACAAATGTACCATCTTACCTGTCAATTAGGGCCCTAGCGGACATAAACTATCATCTACTCTGTATCCCAACAATCATCCAACTGTGGGAGAAACAAGATGGGGCCCACTAGCAAACTAATCTGGAGCCTTTACCTGCAGTGCCCCCTAGTGGCAGAAATGCATATTTCTGTTATTTGAGAACTGCATTGAGAAGTACAGTGTTACTTGAATTGTATTCCAGGATTTGCCTGTCTTCAGCTGAGAGAACTTGCAATAATTTAAGACATTTTAGATAAAGTTTAGGAATATTTTATTAAGGTCTTCATGTTATATAGTCTTTTTTTCAATTTTTCTAAAAAAAAAAAAAAACCCCAAAAAATGGCTATAAAAAAGAAAACAGGGTTTTTTTTTTTTTTTTTTTTTTGCAATAGTTCAGTTTTTTTTTCCAGGCTTTCCCATCTCTATTCCTGTTTCCTTGTGCTGCTCCACCCTCCCCCAATCTAAGTTCTGTTGTACAGGGACCTCAAGAGGCTAATTCTGAACCCAAATCAGGCACATTCACAATTGCATTTAACAACATGCATTTTATGATGTATTCATAGCAACAAAGCTACCTTAATGAGTATCTTTTATATCTATATGGACTTTAAAAAAAAAAAAATCACATAAATTCAGGTAAATTCTGATGTGTTGTTTTTACACAGTTTACACAGATACCAGTACCTGGGTGTTATTGTACTTATGAACATTCCTCGTTCTGTACATTCTGTCATCTTTGCAGCAAGATCCCTGAATTTTTAAAATGGTACATACTAAAAATATGAACTCCAGCCAAAATTGTTTCCTGGCTTTGAACATAGTGGGGAAAGGCTAGGACCTCTGTTATATATTTATTGCATTAATCAAACTCACTTTTCCTGTTTTCAGTTTATTTCATCTCAACACTTTTCTAGATGTGTTCAGGTTAAAAAAAAAGTGATGTAAGTGAGAACTCCCATGAAAACAAACAAAATGGATATTTAAACACAAAAAGAGGTGTAAATCATGTAAACAACTAGAAAATGAGATGTAACGCATATAATGCACAGTTGAAATACTCATACATGAACCTTCTAATGCGCCAAAGGATTTGAAGGTTTTTCCAGCCACTTTGTGATTCATATACCTCTGCCAGACAGGACAGCTAAGTGGGTGGCATCGCTTTTTTTCAAGGATCTTCTGGTTGGTGCAGTGATGGGGTCCTTCCTGTTCTTCTAGAGCAGCATTGAGCAGTTCATCCTCCTGCATTCTTGTAACGTGATGTAAGCACCATTCAGTGCAGTAGTATTATCTAAGGCTAGGTTATATTATTATACAGTATTTATATAGTGCCAAAGGGTTTGTTCAGCGCTGTACAATAGCAAGGGCGATAGAACATGAGACAAGACAGTAACAATACAATACACGAGGGGTTCGAGGGCCCTGCTCTTTCGAGCTTACAATCTAGGAGGGAGGGGAAAGTGGTACTGGAGGAAATAGCTGTAGGGGATGGAGTGGTGGGGAGGAGTGGAGGAGGTCAGTTGTTAGGTGAGGGTGGGGTAGGCTTCCCTGAAGAGGTGGGTTTTCAGGGTGCACCTGAAGGTGAGGAGGGTAGGTGACAGTCTGATGGATTGGGGTAGGGAGTTCCAGAGGATGGGGGAAGTCCTGGAAAAGTCCTGAAATTGGGCGTGGGAGGAGGAGACCAGGGAGCTAGAGAGTAGGAGGTCCTGTGAGGAGCGAAGGGTGGGGTGATATTTGGGTATCAGGTCGGTTAGGTAGTTTGGGGCGGCGTTGTGAATGGCTTTGTAGGTCAGAGTTAGTAATTTGAATTTGATGCGCTGGGCAATTGGGAGCCAGTGAAGGGATTGGCAGAGGGGGGTGGTGGATGTGGAGCGGTTGGTGAGGTGGATGAGTCTGGACGCTGAGTTCAGGATCGACTGTAGTGGGGATAGCGTTTGTTTGGGTAGGCCAGTGAGAAGGGAGTTGCAGTAGTCCAGGCGTGAGATGATGAGGGAGTGTACGAGTTGTTTAGTAGTGTCTGGGGTGAGGAATGTACGTATCTTGGAGATGTTGTGGAGGTGGAGCCTGCATGACCTTGATAGTAATTGGACATGAGGTTGGAAGGAAAGGTTTGAGTTCAGGGTGACACCCAGGATTTTGGCGTGTGGGGTGGGAGTGATAGTGGCGTTGTTAGTAGTGATGGAGAGGATGGGAGGGGCGCAGGCTGGGGGGGAAGACCAGGAGCTCAGTTTTGGACAGATTTAATTTGAGGAAATGGAGCGACATCCAGTCTGATATGTCGTTCAGGAGGTGGGCGATGCGGGTGGAGAGTGAGGGGGTGAGGTGGAGGGTGGAGAGGTAAATTTGTGTCGTCGGCATATAGGTGGTAGTTGAAGCCGTGGGAGTGTATTAGTTTGCCAAGGGAGGAGGTGTAGATGGAGAAGAGGAGGGGTCCGAGGACAGAGCCTTGGGGGACTCCAAGAGAGAGGGGGAGAGAGGGGGAGGTGGCAGTGTTATAGGTGACGCTGAAGAAGCGTTGGGATAGGTAGGAGGAGAACCAGGAGAGAGCAGCATCCCTGATGCCAAGGGAGTGCAGTTTAGTAAGGAGGAGGGGGTGGTCGACTGTGTCGAAGGCCGCGGAGAGGTCAAGGAGCAGGAGGACAGAGTAATGGCCATTAGCTTTGGCGGTTAGCAGGTCGTTGGTGATTTTAAGTAGGGCGGTTTTGGTGTAGTGTAGGGGACGGAAGCCAGACTATAGTGGATCAAGGAGGTTGTTATCAGTGAGGTGGGCGCTTAGGCGAATGTAGGCCAGGCGGTCAAGGAGCTTGGAAGTGAATGGCAGCAGGGAGATGGGACTAAGGTTGTTTAGATCAGTGGGGTCAAGAGAGGGTTTTTTTTGAGTATGGGGGTGATGTGCGCATGCTTTAGAGGGGAGGGAAAGTGCCAGTAGAGAGGGAGAGATTGAAGATGTGGGTGAGGGAGTGAATGATGGAGGGGGAGGGGGGTGACTGGAGGAGCTGTGAAGGGATAGGGTCCAGGGGGCAGGTGGTGAGGCGGGGGCTTCAGTGAAGACCTTAGAGACCTCCTCAGTGGTAGCTGGACTGAAGGAGCGGAGCGTTGAGGAGGTGAGAGTGTGCGGGGCGTTAGGTATAGTGGGGGGTAGTGCGGCTATGAGGTTGGAGGAGGGGAGGGTTGAGGGGTTAATGGAGGGAGGGGGGCTAGGTGGAGAGGTAGATTGTGAGTTGACAATGTCCTTACGGATTGCGTCAATCTTGTTTTGGAAATGATTGGCAATCTCGTGGGCGGTGAGTAAGGTGCTGAGTGGAGGTGGGGGGGGGGGGGGGGGAGAGCATATACCTGTTGCTCTGCTTTTCTGTAGCAAGTCTTTTAAATTATTCAAAAAGAAAATTATAATGGCCTTGGAACAGTATTTAAGCATTTTTAATTTATAATTTTTAATACATTAATATTATTATATTTACTATTATATGTATATAGTTATGATTAATATTGATTAGTATATGTCTACACAATTTGTAACTTATTTTTTATTATGTCTTTTAACATGTGTATCATGTCAAGAAAATTATAAAAACTTTTTAGTCTTTCAAAAAAAAGTTGGACTTGATTGTTTGGAAGCAACTTGAAAATCTTGTATTTTGTTTCTCAAATCACAATTAAGGATAGTTGTTCCATCCTTTTAATTTTGAGTGGAGCACACACATATTTTTGTTTATTAGTGTTTCTTTATCACTTAAAGTGTTACTAAACACAGGACAATGCATTCACTGGTCTCCCACAATACACAGAACATGGAAGTGCAATTAATTTGGTAAATATAAACTGCTAAATACCTTTTCTCATCAGCAGTTAGAGCAGTCTTGTGACTTCTATCATTGTCCAGCAGGGCACTGGTTAAAACTTGTAGGAGGAGTTCTAATTTTGCTCTAGGAGGATGCAGAACCCCTGACCTCTGTCTGGATAGTGCTGATTGGCCCTGTGCTGATCACATGCACTCTCCCAAGGAAAAAAAAAAACTCTCTAGCAATACACACCAAACTGAGCATGTGCAGAGTGACTTCACACGATATGTCATATCAGGAGATAAGAGTGGGCACTGGAAGAAGGGGAGGATCAGAGAAGTCAGGATCAAGTAGCATTTTTAAACAATGTGGAGGATTAACCCCTTATGTTCCACAGTGAGTATAAGAAGCATGCTTTACTGCATATACAGACTGATTTTACTGTTGTGGGTTTAGTAACACTTTAATGGCTATGTTACGCACCTATATTATCTTGGCGTATGTTAGGTTCCAAAACTCATTATCTGAAGGTCAACGAGTACCGCAACACATTTTTAATGCTTCTGCAATATTGGTCATTGGAAAGACTTCCATCATGCAGCCCAGTGGTTCACTTTGTGTGGCCCTTCCTGTCCTGGGCTGGGTCTGCCACCTGTTTTGCACCTTGCAGAGTAAAATCGCGGTGGGTGCCAGGTGCTAGAAGGTTCTCTTCATTTCCACACCTGGGGTTAAAATGAAGCCGAAACTGTCCGGCGCAGTGATCTTTGCCAAAAGAAGTATAGTCCCAGCCCAACATTATGAGGGCAAGAAAGCAGTATGAAAGCAGATGCTCAGGTAAGTGAACAGTGAAGGAAGTTAAATAACCCTGTCACTGACCAAGTATGTGGGTGATTGATGGGTTACCAGCCTTTAAACTGGCCACCAATGCAGGGGGATAATTAACACTTTTGCTAACCGCTATTGTGTGTGTGTGTTGTGTGTTGGGGGGGATAATAATTCTGCCACTGACCACTAATGCAGAAAGGGGGGGTTTAAAAGGGATTAAAAGCATTGCCACTGACCCCCAATAAAGAGAGAATTAAACAGCACTGCCACTGTAGACCAATGTGGAGGTTATTACAGTCAAAGGCACCAGTGCGAAGGGTTATGATTTGAACTACTGCCATCGATGCTGTGGATTATTATCCTGGTTACTGGCACTAATGCTGGGGGTTATTATTATGGTCACTGTCACCAATGGTGGGGGTTTTTATCATGGTCACTGGCACCAGTGCTGGGAGTTATTTTTTCAGTAACTTACTCCAATTCTGGAAGTTACCAACACTGTCACTGACACCAACAATGGGGCTTTATTTACTCCTACTTTTTCTTAAGTGTTCTTTGAGGTAAAAAAAAAATACAGCAGGATCAAAGTTTTCGGGCATCACGGTGCATTACAGCCCATTCATTTGTTCTAAGCTTCATTCTTGCAGATAGCTAAAAAGATAATTAGTATCAATTAGTTGGTTACTTATCTGAGTGTTAGAAATTGTCCATTGCTTAAGGAACCCCTAGCAACCTTTAAGGGAAGCCTAAAGATTTTTGGAGTTCTGGTTGAGAAAGGCTGGCCTGACTAGTAAAACAAAGTAAACAAATTGTACCTCTTGACCAGGGGCGGACTGACCATTCGAACACTCGGGCACTGCCCGAGGGCCCGCGGTCAGTAGGGGCCCCATGAAATGCCCCTGTTACCTTTTCTAGGTGTGCTTTGAGTGTGAATAATATACCTGCAAGCGTTTGTTTGATCTCTCTTCGCACATCTTGAATAAAACCCCTACATGAAAAATATTTTTAAAAATATATTTTTTTAAAGTATGTTCTTTAGATATTTTTAGCGTATAAAAAAGTAATTTTAAGATATATTTTTACATTGTAAATGCATTCCAAAAATGTAGATTTGTATTTTAAAGATATACAGTATATTTGAAATGTATTTTTTAAAAATATATATTGCAATATATTTTGAATATATATTGAATATGGCCAAAATTGTAGTGTTTCAAATATATGTCAATATATTTGGGAATAATATTTTTAAAATATATTTCAAATATATTTTTCTTCCATATGGGTGCCGTCCTTACCCTCTAAGAGCCGAAGGGAGAACTGCCACTACAGTTCACATGAGCCTAATGGCCGGTGTGTGAATGTAGCCCTAGAGGTTACTGTATATGGAGAAATAGATATCTTTTTTCAACCTAACTATGTACCAGGGGCGGACTACACCATTTGGAAACTCGGGCACTGCTCGAGGGCCCGGGGTCAGCTAGGGGGCCCTTCATGAGATGCCCCTGGTTATCACCTTTGTCATAGGCTTTTTTGAGTCCCAGTTTGGGTCTAGCAAGGAACAGGCAAAAGGGGCCCAATGATGAGCCCCTAACTTGACCTAAACGGGGGCCTCATTGAGTTGTCAGTTCCGCCACCTGCTCTTCGACACCATCAATAAAGAAGAATATATTTAGGAAAATAAACTACACATTGCCTTCATACTATGCTCTTCCCATGATGCAGGTTCGTATTCTCTGTGACCACAAGAAACCTTCACCTTGGCTTAAATGTCAACGACCTCATTTCATTTTGTATAATCTTTTATTGAATTTTTTTCTACTTTCACAATAGTCCATCTAATTAAGTCTCTATATTCAATTTTACAATTGGGTTTTGACATGTTTTACAGGCTGTAACTTTGTGTGACACTGCCTATTGAGGCTCACGCGATGGCATCTCTAACCATATCAGACATGGAAGACATACAGCGCCCCCTGAGAGGTGATTTCAGCCCCTAAGTAAATATATCTTGGCTTTGTACCTAATCAGAAGCCACTCTAATGCAGGTCTCATTGAAGCTGAATAAGATTGATGTAATCCTTAAAAGTGCCACTTCTTTTCATTTAGCAATTGTTTCTAGTCTACCGTTAAAGCAGTCTACAGGGAAGATTTTGACATGTCTATTACTCACAAGATAACTTTTACTGCAGGGAGAGAAATCAGTCACTAACAAGTGGAGATCCGGTGTCGGTCATGTTTTTTAAACAACACTTTCTTAGTCAGTAGATTATGCTGAAAAGAAAAGAAAAACCTTGCAATCCTATGTTAGCCAATGTCAAGTGTTCAGCAGTGACCCTGGGACAGCATCTGACCCAGTGGAAAAAATTCCATTTTTCATACTGTTAAATGTACATAATATGTTAAAGTGTAAGTTCACCTTCAGAAACATTTTCCAAATAGCCTCCTAAGCAATTCCATATCCTCTCAAATAGTGCATGCCATCGCTTCCTCCTGTTTCAAGTACTGCACCTCCTTCCATTAAACATGGAGCTGTGGAGGGGGGGCTTTCCAAAAAAATGCTTGCCCCAATGCCTCTCCATCCTGCTGTTTGTAGTTGGGCTGGACAACTACACAACTGTTGTGAGCCCATTAGTGGCTACTTAAACTTGCTCATAGTGCACAGTGTGCTCTCTTCTTCTTTAGCTTGGCTCAGTAGCAGCTGCTGTTAGACCATCTGCCAGGACTGGGATCACCTGCTAGTGGCACTGTGGTTTACCAGAGCGGAAGGTTGTAGTTTTGGTGTCCACCAATGGGTGTCTCCCAGCAGCTAGCAGATCCCAGTAATCGCAGTCCCCACCTGATGCTGGCTGCTGGGAGGGTATTTAGTTCCTCCTCTACTATTTCCCGTCGTGCTTCAGTCTTTTGCCCTGATAGTAGCTACTGCTTGCGAATTTATCTTGACCCGATCCCTGATCTTGCTTCATGCCCTTACTCTGTTTTTCTGTATTCCCCATTTTATATATATTGTATACAGTTAGTTTGCTAGTTAGGCTTTCTGTAACGGAGGTCGCTTTTCAGGTATTTTGTCATTTAGTTATGATTCACTTGTATCTTTATGTTTGCTGTGTATCATGTTTGCTAATGTTTGGGTGTGTTTTGTTTCACTAGTAATAAACTTGCTTAAAGTGAAATTAAAGGTTCATTTAAAAAAAAATGACCACACATGTCATACTTACATGCTCTGTGCAATGGTTTTGCACAGAGCAGCCCTGTTCCTCTTTCTTCTCAGGTCACCTGCCGGCATTCCTGGGTCCTCCCCCTTGACTAATGCCCCCAATAGCAAGCCGCTTGGTGCATGCTTGCTCCTAAGCCCTGCTCTATGCATCCATAAGACACAAAGAGCTGTGGCTCAGCCCCTCCCCCCACTCTTTCCTCATTGGCACACTGGCTGTGACTGATTGCAATGGGAGCCAATGTCTCAGACAACAAGGAGAGAGAGACCCAGGACAGACGAGGCTCCTGTGCACATCGATGGAGAGAGAGGTGAGTATTGGGGGGCTGTGGGGAGCAGCACACAGACTTTTTTTTACCTTTATGCATATAATAAGCCAATACAACCACTTTAAATTATATATGGTCTGGACTCAGCTGCCTAACAGATCTGGCCATCCCTACAGTTAGTATCCCTGACACCATCCAAGCTGCATTTGTGCACTCTTGCCTTCTCTAAGTGAGCCCCGTAGCAGCCACTCTGGGCCATGCAAACTGTACACAGGCGTAGTGAACTTTCTCCTTTTCTAGCTGAGCTTAAAAGTGACCAATCTGAGCCATACAAGCTATATGCAAGCACAGTGTGCTCTCTTCTCTAGCTGAGCTCAATAGTGGTCATTTCAAAAACCAGGGGCGGACTGACCATTTGGAAACTCGGCACTGCTCGAGGGCCCGGGGTCAGTAGGGGGATCTATGAGATGCCCCTTGCACCTTTTTCATAGGCTTTTTTGAGTTTGGGCAAGGACACAGGGGCCCCATGATCCCTTATTGCCCGGGGGCCCCATGAGTTGTCAGTCCGCCCCTGTTTCAGACTGTCTAAACGGTGCTATCTCTTCCTGTAGCTGAGCTCAATAACGGCAGCTTTGTGCTGTCCAAACTGTGCATGTGTGTAGTGTACTCTCTTCTTCTAGCTAAAAAAAGGAAAGAGCACTCTGATCACGTGAGCAGTTTGAATGGCCCAGAACGGCCTCTATGGGGTGCACAATGTTAGTGTCCAGTCCATCCTGCAAATGAAAGGAGCGGGGATTGAGATGCTAGTGGCTTTTGTACAGATCCTTTCACCCCACAGATGAATGTGTGAAGGGAGGAGGTGCAGTATTTGAAACAGGAGGAGCTTTAGTATGTACTATTCAGAAGAATTGCATAGGGGGAATTTTGGGAAAAGCTGCTGAAGGTGAACTTACACTCACATAAGTTTATAAAGGGCTAAAAAAAATTGTTTTTTTTCACAGTAGAGAACGATTGTAGGTTGTTCATTTCTATTTGTGTTCCCATGCGTAACTTTCACTTTTCATCCTGTTCCAAGGACACAGAGAAAATGTCTCCAAAGTTTGGAGAAGTCCCCTATTAGAGAGTTGCCACTCTATTAGCTGTTACCATTGTAAGGGTTTTTTTTTTTCCTCTCTGTAAAATTTTAGAACATGCAAAGCAAAGTAACAGGTTCACTTTAAAGAGACACTGTACACCAAGCAGGGCAAGGGGACATTGTCTCTACAAAGGATCTTCATTCCCTGAACCCTCAGAAATAGTTACTGTACATAGCAGGGGCGGACTGACAACTCATGGGGCCCCTGGGCAATAGGGGATCATGGGGCCCCTGTGTCCTTGCCCAAACTCAAAAAAGCCTATGAAAAGGTACCAGGGGCATCTCATGGGGCCCCCTACTGACCCCGGGCCCTCGGGCACTGCCCGAGTTTCCAAATAGTCAGTCCGCCCCCTGGTACATAGTTAGGTTGAAAAAAGATATCTATTTCTCCATATACAGTAATCTCTTGGGCTACATTCACACCGGCCATTAGGGCTCATGTAAACTGTAGCGGCAGTTCTGCCTTCGGCTCTTAGAGGGTAGGGACGGCACCCATATGGAAGAAAAATATATTTGAAATATATTTAAAAAATATTATTCCCAAATATATTGACATATATTTGAAACACTACAATTTTGGCCATATTCAATATATTTCAAAATATTATTGCAATATATATTTTTAAAAATACATTTCAAATATACTGTATATCTTTAGAAATACAAATCTACATTTTTGGAATGCATTTACAATGTAAAACTATATCTTAAAATTACTTTTTTATACGCTAAAAAAATCTAAAGAATATACTTTAAAAAAATATATTTCTAAAAATATTTTTCATGTATTTTGTAATATATTTAAAAAAAACATTTCAACATACAGTATATATATTTATTGATATATATTGAATATGGCCAAAATTGTAGTATTTCAAATATATGTGTCAAGAATATTTTTAAAATATATTTCAAATATATTTTTCTTCCATGTGGGCATCCGGTCTTGTTTACTATAATGACAAGTCACCAGTGGCCACACCTATATGCGGCCCTCTGCACAGCCTGCGATTACCTGCAGTGATTGCTGTTGGTGTTTTATCATGGTTACGTGATAGCTTACGGCTTTGGGGTTTTATTCAAGATGTGCGAAGATAGATCAAACAAACGCTTGCAGGTATAATATTTAATTAAGTAATGACAGATGCAGCTAAACAAAGGTAGTAATACTGGAAAATGTGACAAGAATACTTAGCTATAGAGGTCTTTTCGCCACAGAGTCCCCCGTCTTTGCGACGTGGCACAGATGATCAGAGCCAGGCACGTGCATTTGAGCAGCCCTGGGATGGAACTCCCTATTAGTTTTAGCTGTAGTATATACGGGACTAATGAGTACGTAACAACCAATCATAAGCAACATTATCTTCTGAGGAAGATAGCATATTCTTGACATTCCTATAGTTTGAAGTCAGCTAAGGTAGCCAGGTTTAGAATTCATTTTTAGATATTTTTAGCCAATAACAATAAGGAAATATACAATTTCTCCATCAGTTGGCCACAGACAAAGTAAGTCCAGCAGCAATCACCACAATGGCTGTGCAGAGAGCCTCGCATATTCTAGCATATTCCTGACATTCCTATAGTTTGAAGTCAGCTAAGGTAGCCAGGTTTAGAATTCATTCTTAGATATTTTTAGCCAATAACAATAAGGAAATATACAATTTCTCCATCATTTGGCCACAGACAAAGTAAGTCCAGCAGCAATCACTACAATGGCTGTGCAGAGAGCCTCGAATAGATGTGCCCACCAGTGACAGTGGAGCAGGTCACATGTTCCTCAGTACCCAGAAGTTCTGGGTATTTGTGCTGGAGTAAGGACTTATGAAGGTCACATACCTTTTCCAAGGGTTCCCCAGCTGGTCTGATGACGTTATAAGTTCTTTCTCTTCTCCAGTGATGATAGGGAATTTTCCTTACTGCTACACTAATCAGCATTCACATAATATGAGCACCATACAGTGCAGTAATACTCTGATCTCAAGCAGTATGATAGCATTGCCCCACAAGAGCATAGGCTCATAGAAAGTGAGTTAAATACGTCAGATCATCGTGTTACCCAGAAGATTGAGAACATCCAGTAGTGGAAAAGAAGTATTGAGGAGGACAGCTCTGAATTGAAGGTGAATAGTGCAGTGCTCTTGAATTTTTTGTTTGGAGTTCTACTTTAAAAGAAAACCATCAATAAAATCATCAATGACCATTTCTTGCACTTCTCTCCATACAGGTTTCCTTTAATAACATCCCCACTTTAAAAATTTGCAAGAAAATAATAATTTTACTTTGTAATAAATTGTGTTTAATTGTCATTATCCACCTTACAAGACCTGCAGTCTTTAAGCCACACAATAACATCCTTCTAAAGACATTCTTAATAACCATGAGATAACATTAAACAAAAAAACGGAACAACTGCAGGAGTAATAAAAGGTTCTGACTCTCACACACTTTTGTCTGCTCTATTATGTAAATGAATTCCATTGCAGGTCCTGGGCTCTATTCAACCAGGATCTTTAACATATTACTCATTATTTGTAATTTTTGGGCGATAACGCAGTAAATAGAGGTTTCTAGGGAACAAATTGCATTCAAGTGCAACACATGTTTAAAATGGGTATAAATGATCATGTAAATTTTTTTAGTTCAAGGTCTGTCTAAGGTTTAAGTCTTTGTTTTGCAAGAGCAGGATTTGTAAAGGGAAGCAAATTCAATATATTTTTTTAAAGGCTTAAGGTAATTACACACAACTTTTTAACTATTCATTTGTTGCTGATTCACCATGTCACTGTTTGCTGTGGAAGTTCTGCTTCCAGCAAGATCTTGTGTTGGCCATTGATTTCGGCAAAGCCTGTAATATCCATTGGGAATATCAATACATTTGTAGAGCTACCCCCAAAGGGGCTGCTGTAGACTTACTCAGGTTTTTTTCCCAAACAGTGCAAGGCAGTCAGGCACACAGCAACAGTCCACTAAACAGCCCAAGGGTTGTCTTTTTGAGATTGTATTTGCTAGTAGAACTTAGAAAGAGATTAGGGGTGATTTGGGATACACCAAAGAGGAATGTGTTGCTAGCAGATGTATTTAGTAGCAGTAGCTATAGTGTAGGTAGACTGGAACAGTCCACGGTTCACGGCTGTGGACTGTGCAGTAGGAAGTAGTTTAAGCACAAGTAAAGCCAAACTGGAACAGGCCTCGGTTCACGGCTGGGGACCATGAAGTAGTTTGAGCACAGGTGAAGGCAAACTGGAACAGGCCTCGGTTCACGGCTGGGGACCATGAAGTAGTTTGAGCACAGGTGAAGGCAGACTGAAACAGTCCACGGTTCACTGCCGGGGACCATGAAATAGTTAGGCACAGAAAAGAAGCTCTACTCACTGGATCCTGGTAAACAATTAGTCCATGGGTGCAGTCTCCAGTAATGTATTCAGCCCAAGGGCTCCAGGGCAACAGAATTGCAGAGCACGTGCACAAGACCTGCTGGGAAGATATTTGAAAAGTGGCAGTAGTGATTACACCAACCATATCTTGATGGGTCAGTGATGCATGAGTAAAGCTAGCCACATTAGTAAAATTTCACTGGAAATTTTCATTTTAAGAAATTTTTTTTCCACCCTCTAATGATCAGTGGCTACTGTGATTGATTTTGGCTACTGTGATGAGAAAATTCAAAGGTGCAAGGGGGACATTTTTTTCAAATGAACACTTTTTAACAGAGTACAGTATGTCATTTTTGTTCTGGAAATTACATTCATTCCAAAGATAAATGTTAAAAGCAAACAAAACTTTAAAGTAGTTTTGTACAACATCTGTCAAATCATCAAATGTACTAAGAATTTTTACAGGTATGAGTGTTCATTCGAAAATCTACTAGTATACTGCCAGCGTAAGAGATTGGGAGAGGGAGCTGGGGATAATCTGATATATATGTAACTGCACTTTGTATTACCTGTACATTTTTTTTGCCTTTATGTTTTGACTGTAAGAATTTATTCCAGTAGCAAGATAATATTTTCTTATTGTACAGCAATCCTGGAATATTATTGTGTTCCTAGGAAGCTAAAGACTAGAACTAGAAGATGAGCTGGCATTGCATGTTATTGTTTGTTTAGATGGGTACTATAAATATACCAGTTAGAAAATTATTATTAAAATGAATATGTGGATATAGTAAAGTAACCTTCATCCAATCTTGCATACATTTTTAAACTCTGGGGTGGGTATTGAGGAGTGCCTAGTAAAAAATCATATCAGTCAGAGGTCTTTTGTAAATGTTTATTGGATAATATTATTGCACGCATCCAATGCATTTCAATAGACAGTCCTCCCCCTTAAACTGGCCATAGATGCATCAAAATTCAACTTGTATAGTAGGAACCGGCTGAGCTTTGATTCATCTATGAGCAGGCTGATTGTACTGAAGTTGATCTAATGATCAACCTCAGTACAACCAGTCTGTTGGGTTTTTCTCAGTGCAATCATGGTATTTTGCCAGTGGGAAAGGCTCCCCTCTGGCAGAATACAATAACTCAGTGGGAGGGATTCCCCCAACAACAATGACTGTGTTTATGGGGGAATTGTGCAATTTTATTTCCTTCAAGCCATGACTGAAGGAAAGAAAATTGTATAATGTATGGCCTGCCTTACTCAGGGCTTGAGCAATAAATGTTACATAAATAACACAAAAAACAGCGCAAAAAATAATCACAAATAAATAAATGTCCGTGCAAAAATATATATATAATATTTCAAACATAAGTCCTTATTGTCCCAAAAGGATTTTCAAAACAATGTTCCAAAATGTGCTTCCACCTAATCACCACGTGAAAAATAATATTGACCGCACTCACCAGATGGAGGTGAGTAATAAGCCTCATAGGATATAAGGGATCCTATAGCCCCTCAGGAGGAACTCAAATCGCCTTCACCCTGCTTAGATACAGCAATCGACTCCACTCTACTTCTCCATGGAATCCTCAATAGTGTGCAAGGAAAGAAAGGCTACATAGTGTAATACTGCCACTCAATACCATATAAATTGATAGAATAAGGACACTCACATGTTTCAATAAAATAACAGGCCTTGTTTAATAGCCTCAAAGGCTTCAAAGGAACAAGTTTCCAAATTGTAAATATAGGGATCTCACGCTTTAAGGATCACTGTAGAGGATGACCAGCTTTCCACCTCAAAAATGGCTGCTTTAACCGCAAAAGTCGGCATGCATTCCAAATACTGGAAGTGACATAGGCCAAGAAGACGGCAGACCAGAAGTGCATCAATGCATTTCACCCCACCCACAGGGCATTTTCAAGACCTGGAAACGCCCTGTGGGTACTTTCTTTGATTGGCGCTGGGATTTTGTTTAGTTA